GTCTTGCCCCTGGATAAGTCTATTGGATACAGAGTTCAGGGTGTCTCTCATCTTCAAAAACAAAACTGGGGATGCATTCACGATTCACTGAACTGACTCAGTGACCAGTGTAATGAGATTTCATTCAGAATACAGCAACACTGCAGCCAGGGAGAGGCAGCCCGACATTCTATTCAAGAGGTGTCCTTCCTCCTCACCTACTGAAAAGCACTTATATGATCAATCCCAAGCAAGTTCAGAACAAAACTGATGGATCCCACTCCTTCACAGGAGCTGGGAGCAAAGTTCAGCTCACTGTAGTATTTGTGGAACTAAAGGAGGTCCACAAGATGATGAGGGATGAAGAAACTGTCTTAGGAGATGTGAATTGAACCAGGAGAGAAGAATGCTGAAAAATGAGGACAGCACCAAGATTTTTAAAAGGAAGAAGGCCCTGGGTAAGCTCTGGTTCAGTTGCTGTTCAGGAAGTTCTGGAACCAGCAGGCATTTGCTGAATCTAATAGGAGGTTGGTTTTAACAGATAAAAGGAAGTACTTAATCACACTGTGCAAGTGAACTTCTGGAACTAGCTGCCCTGGGAAGCAGACAGAATTGTCAGAGTCAGGCAGCAATTAGACAAAATCACAAGCAAAAAGTCTAGGCATGGACACTAAATGCTCTAGGCAGGGATGTCCACTTTAACGTAGCTGATACAACAATTGTGGCTGTTGTTAGGGCAATGAGGGGAATGGACCACTTAAGTGGCCAAGCAAGTGTGCTTTCCCTAAACAACATCTTTTATTGCCTCAATCCGCAACAGAGACATGATGGATCCAGGTTTGCTGTTATTTCTTACTTGTCTCTAATTTGATAGAGGCTCTGTTCTTCCTGCACCATGACAGAGTTCATTCCCCTTTGAACCTGCTCCCAACAGAGCCAACAATCTAGCCCAGGTTACATAAAGAACCATATAACCTCCAGATTTCATCCAAGGGTTCATCTTCTCCTGAATATCTTGAAATCTTTTTCTGTCCCCTAATTTCCTTCTTCCTTCCACACACCAGCAAGAAGCACCATGTGGCTGAGCTGTTTGTGAATCTTGAAGATGAGCAATGTCTGAAAATTTGTGGCACATTAGCAGAGCGACACAGTGACAACTCCATGTCTGTGCACTACAATAAGCTAGTTATAAACAAGAGGGTTTCTCCTCTAATGTTCCCAGTCCTTGCTACCACACTGGAGCAGACTGGACTAATGAAGATTTCCTCCTGTGAGCTCCATGAGGCATCTGCACTATTCCTTCTGAACTCATTACAGTGAACAAAACATAGAGCAGAAAAAGCATTTTTTTGCTGGCTATAAATCATGAGTGACACTAAAGTATTGCTATTAGCAGCAGAAAAATGCTTTCCTCCCCCAGCCTCATCTAGCCCTGTGTATGTACAACACTATGGCAATGGGTGATGGCGTGTCTGGATGGAGAATTAAATAGAGGTTGTGTTGTCTGAAGATAAACTGGTACCTCCCTTGACGTGAGTGACTTTGTCTTTTTCTGATTTGTCTTTTAACTTAAAAAAACACTGAGACTAAAGATAAGGATGAGCTTTAAAACCATAGCCTTTGTCCCCTCCCAGGCTCTCCTGAGCAAGTCCAGTCTCTGAAATGAGCTCAAAATGAAGATAAATGTTCTGGCAGTAATATGCAATATTATTTTTGGCATTTGAAGAATCCCAAGCTAGATAAGGGAAAACTGAAAGGAAAACAAAGCTCTGATTTTTTCAAATGCAAGTGATCAAATGCTGCTTACCCATATGAACCCAGAATCCTTTCTTTTTTTCCACATTGTTGCAGTAATTCCTGATTTTCACTGGAGTAGCTGATTATGGGGCCTTATTTAAAACCCAGCACATTCAGAGACCCTGGTGGAATCACACAATAACACAACTGAAAGACAAAGGCATGAGAAGACTGTGCCAACTCCCCAGCTTCTGCCCAAAGGCTAATTTGGTTTTGGACAGTGTTAGCTGTAAGAATGATAAGATTAACACCTGATATCAAGGGAAAGGCTGAACTGTCTGAGACCTCCTTCAGCAGAACAGAACTGGCTCCAGCTCCTCCGGCATATTAGCATATGTTAGAGGAAAGGCCCCTTTCTTGGACTAGTGTGTATTTCCCTATAGAGCCTCTGTGCAAAGCTCAGAGCAGTGTTTCTGCTGATACATTTGTTGGTATGTTGAATAAAACATGTGCTATTTGACATTGTTTGCTTGGGCTTCCACGGAGAATGGGAGAGGGCACCTATTACTGTAAGGCAGAGAGGAATGAGAGGCTGAATCTGCCTTTCTAGGAGCAGGATGAAGCCCAGAGAAATGTAGGAGCATATCACATTTTTGATTCTGAGAGAGCCCTGACCAAAGGACACAGCTCACCCTGCATTGATTGAAGTGCCAGCTGAATATATTGCCTTAAGACAAGGAAAAGTAAAAAGCCCAAACCTTTGCTCTCTGTATCTGCATTACCCTTTACAGACATGTATGCTTTGGAAATTAAATGGGAAGGGATTTTCAGAATAATCTAAGTGTTTTAGAGGCAACATTTCTAGTGCTTAGAAAGGCTCCTGTGTCCAAAGGACAGCATGTGCTCTGCAAATTTTGATGTGCTTTGTCAAGGCTGGAAGTTGAGAACCAGGGCTGGTTCTCAAGAACTCTTAGAGCATCCTTTTGTAGGGAACAACAGTTATTGATGCTGCTGGTTTTAAACTAAGAAGTTGTCACATCTCAGCTGTTCTTGGATCTGACTGGCATGTGAAGAATGGTTGCATGGAATAGCTAGGGGCATTGCCACCTGTTGTGTCTATTCATAGTTAATAATTTTCTAGGCAATTAAGAACTGTACAGTGGTACATTTTATAATACAAGATTTGTATGCTGTGACCAGAAGGAGCATCCTAGCATAAGAAATAGGATGCTTCTAAAGGAATTCAGAATCTCCCTCCTAAAAGCTGTGAAATATTCTCAGGGCAGTTCAGAGAAGCAGCATATTGAGAAGGACGTCAGCAGAATCAGGAAGAGCCCTAGAGGAAATTCGTTTGGCCACCAGGTACAGCACTGTCTTCCAGATAAGCTTTGATTAAACACTTGTTCATTTCATTTCTGTCACGGTGTTTCCAGCTCTGTAATGAAATAGCTCATCCCTGGCAGCTGTTGTGCCAGTGACAGGAGCTGTTCTGTCCCGTCTCAGTGACACCAGGGCCAGCCCTGCAGACAGGAGAGTCACTGGCCAGGCAGTCACGGATGTGCCTTTGGCAAGGAACAGGCAGGGGGAAGATGACTCCAAGATTATCTGTAACTACTAAAGGATATGCCCTTGACACACACAGAGCAGGGTCATACCCTGTCCTGAGCTCTAAATAGTTCAAAAGCTAAAAAAGCTGCTGATCTTTGGTTTCATGGAGCTGATCATGGCAGTAAGGCCATCTTTAGCAGGTTGTTAATATTTGGGGAACCTTCATCTCCACGAGATTTCTGTTTCATGGAAACAAATTAATTCTTGCCTTCTATGCAGTCACAATAGTCAAAACATACTCTTTATCTACTCTGACCACCCTTCGTTAAGCAGCTTTGCTTCCTTACTCCCCACCTTCTCTTGTTCTGTTTGGTACTGGACACTAAGGCCCCTTTCCCTCAATAGAGGCATCACAGTTTTCCACAGGAATACACATAGTATACACAACTAAGAGCTGGTTTCCTTGCCAGCAGTGGGTGTGGAAGGTTGTAACTTTTTCCAATGGCAAGGAAAAAACAGCAAGCTCACTGGCACAAATCTATCAGTGAAGCTGCACAAGTGTATTAAACAGAGCAAACAAGAACTTTGCTGGTACCTTTCAAGTAAATAGTTTCTCCTTCTCAGTTTGCTCCAGCATAAAAATCCCTCTGCCCTGTACATGCCACTGCAAGTATTTATTTTTTAAGAACTTGGCTCTGTTTATTTATTTATCCATATTTAGTTTAAAAGTCTGGGCTCAAAATTAAACAGTCATTCATAATGTCATTATCTGCCTTGCTCTGCAGTTAGATACTCTGTGTGGTGTCACAGGACAAAACCTTTGGCAAGGTCTCCAGAAGAGCAATTTAGCTCCTCATCCATCTTGCCTGGCAGCATGATTGGCTTCCAAGTTTGCACTGCTAAATTTGTTATTTTACTCTGACTTATATTATTGAGTGTTAAATCACTTTCTGAAGTGTTTATTGGTAATAGTTGAATTCTTTCCACTCATTTGAGCTACTTTTAAAGCATAAACATTTCCTTGTATCTTGGAGCTTGATGGAAAGGTGGGGAGAGTTCCTCAGGAGGATGGGTTGTCGAAATGACCAGCTCATTAAGTAGGGACAGAATGTGCCAGTGTTGTGGAGGAGAATGTCCTCCCCCTTCCATCAGGATGAAACAGCAAACTCCCACTGTCACTCCACAGCACTCACATGAGGAAGATTAGCTTATGTCTTGGTTCTCCCATCATGTCTTGGCCTGTCAGGAAGCAGATGACCTGTTTACTGGAACACCAGTGACTTCCTGGCAGGATCTTTGTAGATCCTGAATCTCCCTGGAGAGAAGGCCAGGTTGTGATCTGCAGGGTTGGGTGCTCAGGTGGTTATTAGGCACCAACATGCCCATGCTTCCAAGTGGGAAGTGAGGTCTGCAGCCCGTCCCTGGCACTGATGTCTCTTGGGAAGGAACCAGAAACAACTTTCTTATACCTATTTAGGAAAATGGAGTGGAGGATCAGAGAGCAGAAATAAACAAAGAGCTGAAGATCTACTGTGGCAGTTAGAAGATGAGCTGGAGAACAAAGGCCAGAGGCAGGTCAAGCTAGAGAGAAGGCAGAATTTCATATAAAGCCTTTCGCAATTGATCTCTTGAGGACCCAGGTGTGACAGCCCAGCAGCCTGATCCAGGCTGGTGTACTCAGTACTGCAGGTCCTCTTACCTCTTGCCCTTGCATCATGAAGACCCACAAATCAAAATTTTTCTTTTAATTTTATTTTTTATGAGGAGATCCGCTGAGCGTCTTTCTTGCATCTGGGAGTTACTTTCCAATCTGATGAACACTGACTTTTAGAGATGACACCAAGATCGCAGTAGCAATCAAGACTCCTTTGATGGCAGAGCTAAAAATACACTCCCCAGCTGACACAAGCCTTCAGTAGCAGAACATAGTTTGGTTTGAAAGAATACATCTTCCTTAGTCTCCATGTCTTCTACCAGAGGACACCAAATCTGTGAAAACCATGCAAGCAGGTTACAACTGTCTTCTGAAATGAAGCGGCCATATACAGACCCATATTACCTTCAGCCTCAGCAAGGGGAAAGCTTTAAACCCTCTGAGTGCCTTGGAGAAAGGTTTAATTGGCAGTTTTTTGCCTCTCTGGTCCTGTTGGCATTTGTCAAGTTATTGCATGGCAGGAACCGCATCTTTAGCTGCTTGCCCTTGACAATCCCTTAGGAAAGGAAAGATCTGGGGCAGCTGATTGACAGGACTGAAACTGAACCTATCTGCCTCCCTGTCTGCTCTCCTCCCTGCTAATTACAGGGTGCTGGCACACAAGCCCTGGCTAATGAGGCATTCCCAAAGCCCTGCTTCCGCACTTGCAAAGAAGACTGTGGTAAGTAGTGCCACTGCCACCTCCTGGGCTTTCAGAGGACTTGACCACATCCTGTGGGTTACAAATGCAGATTTATGCAAATGTTGGGCAAGAGATCATGGGTTGCCCAGATGCAATCCGTGCCAGCCCACTCTGTCCCCAGGTCAGAGAAGTGATGGCACTAACAAGCAGGTGTTTGCAGAACAGAGTGCAGGTCTCCCTCCCCTTGGAGGCATTAGCCAAATCATTGAGGCTTCCAGGTAGGAGATGTACAGATGAACAATCACACACAATATCAGCTCCACATTTGTAATGTGCAATGTGACAGGGGGTAAAAGGTTGAGCAACCCACTTTGGCAAATGGAAATAGCAAGAAGGGTGTATTTTTCTGGCTAAATGAAAGCCTTCTCTGTGTGTTATTTTTATCTTGTGTCTCCATGCATAACTTGAACATAGCGAAAGGAAAAATTAAATTATTTGGTCAGACAAAATTACACCAGATTTATTATTTTAAGAGATACAGGGGGTATTTCATACTTCTACATGGCTGCTGTAGCTATAATTGGCAGCACAATGTTCTGTCAAAAAAAGGCATTCACCCAAGAATGTCTCTGGGCCCAGCCAGCCTCAGTCTTGGAGGTGGATGTCCCATCCCTAAACCTCTGTGGGCAGTGCTCCATCGCCAGGAGTCTGTTTGAAGCTCCCATTTAGGGTGTTGGCCCTGAAGATGTAAGACCTCCCTCTAACTGAGCCTTCAGTGTGGATGCTTTCGGGCTTGTTCTGGCAACGGAAGAACATAAGGAAGCCATTCCTGTAGTTCTTGTTCATCCATCCATAGAGCAGGGGGTTGACAAATGTAGAGCACATGGCCCCGACATGGAAGACAGTGTACAGGAGTTTGTACTCATGGAAGATAAGAACCAGATCAAGATCGATGGCAAGCTGGAATATGTGGAAGGGGAGCCAACAGACTGCGAATACCACAACTACCATCACGAGCATTTTGGTTGTCTTCCTCCTCCGGCACTGGTTTTCATTCCTAGAAGTGGGACTGACATGGTTTTTCAGCTTGAACCAGATCCTGGTGTAGGCATAACAAATAATTGCAAGAGGAAGAACATACTGCAGGAGGAGCATGGACAGACTGTAGATGGTGGCATCTCTGTTGTTAGCAGAGGGCCATTTTTCTGAGCAAACTGCCATTTTGAGGTTAATGGATGGGATTTCCTCGTATCGGTACTCCCTGAAGATGGCCAGAGGTCCTGCCAGGACAGCTGCTGCCAGCCACATGACAGCTATGATGGTGAAACTGAGCCTCTTGGAAATCCTGCTGTCCAGGTGGAAAACAATACAGCGGTACCGATCCAGGGCAATCACAGTCAGGGTGAGGGTGGACACATGGACACTCAGAGCTTGAGCATAAGGAACCAGGTGACAAAGGACAGCTCCAAACTTCCACTCGTCCAGCAGGGTGTACACTAGGGTGAAAGGCAGACAGAGTGTGTCCACCATCAGGTCTGCCAGGGCCAGGTTAGCTATGAAGAAGTTGGTGACAGTCCTCATGGTCTTGTACTTCACTATGATGTAGATGACCAGGGAGTTTCCGATGAAGCCCAGCAGAATGATGAGGGAGTAGGCAGCAATCAGGATGACCTGGACCCCCAGGATCTTGGTGCTGTCCATCATGACACTGCGGGACCCAGAGAGATCCTGGGTAGGAGTGACAAAGTCCTTGGCATGCCAGCCGTGTGGCAGCTTCTCATCTAATGCTATCTTCTCCACGGTGAATGTGCTGTTGGCTCCCTCCAATGGTCCCATGCCTGGCCTGACACTTTCCATAAGGAGGAGAAGGGGGTCTGGAACACAGACATAACAGAAGTGAGAGCACGGGTTGCACTCGTCTTTTATGAGATTTACTTGCCTGCAAAAATTCCCCGACACCTTAAGAACTAGGAAAGGAGAGAAACAAGGCACTCTCAAAGTCAAGGTGTTCTCCACCACCCTGTAACAGTTTATTTATTTCCAGATTGTGCACCATTTTTTTTCTATTTCTTATTTCTCACCTCTCCAGGTGAAAATATTTGTCCCTCTGCCTCTGCATAAGTCTCTGCCACTGTTCCACTGGATTGGGTGCACCCAATCCACCCAGTACTGTCTGCTCTCCCTCCCAGTAATGTGGGTAGCACAACTAATCCCATTTCATGAGCCATTCTCTGTGATCAAATGTGTGGCATAGTCATTCCCTGGCCCTCACTACCAGGCTCTCAAGGTCCTGTGAAGCAGCTAGACAAACCAGTTTTCTTCTTCCTTCCCCTGCCAGTCTCAGGGTGCTCAGGCATCTGGCAATTGTTGCCTGCCTTGGTGGCTTTGAAGGTCACAGGCACCCAGCCAGGCAGGTGTTGTGTCCCCATCACAGAAGAGGGAGGTTTGACAGCACAGAGAGCACAGTTACAAGTCCAAAGTAAGGAGCTACTGGACAGTGAGACCCATGAACCCTATGGCCAGGAGACACTCCACATCCTCTGCTTTCTCCAAGGATTCAGTGAGTGGCTCATATACCTTTATAGGATTTTTGTGTCTAGATTATGATTGTTACAATGATACAACAAACCATGTATTAGGATTTGGCCCAATCTGAAGACAGTCCAGGTGATTATAAATTATAAGTTGTATTATAAATTCTGTATTACTTAGGTGATTAGAAATCATAAATTATTAATAAATTCTGAATTTTGATATTTGTAGATTGCACTATGTTGATTCTGCTTGTAGAAATCCTGTGCTGTTTCAATCACAAATTCAGTTCTATATTAATCATAATACCCTGATAAAGAAACAAAGCTTTAACTGCCACCAGGATTTAGTGCCATCTTCATTCTGCCCAGGATCCCTAAAAGAACCTCTCTGTCCTCTCAGTGCTGGTGACACCCAAGCATCCGCTGGCTTAGCAGAGGAGGGATCTCCTACAGGGACATGCATGTGCAGGGCATAAACCACTGAAGCTGTGAACAAGCCTCCCACAGAGCTGCTGCTGAGCATCCAGGCACAGACAGCCCGAGAGACAGAGCCCCAGCATCCATCAGCCTCCTGGGGCTCGAGTGCCTGAGTGGGATGGCTGTGGGAGAGGAGCCCGAGGGGCCAGAGCTGATGAGCCTGGGAGCCCTGGCTGGCATGAGGTGCCACTGGAACAGCAGTGTTGTCACAGCAGGGTGTTCATTGAATCCAAAGCACAGCTCTGTTAGTGGCTCAGAATTGCTGTGGGCTATGTGGAGAGGGGTGGACACGGCCCCTCACATATCCCCTCTCCCCAGCACTGTGAGTGGGGCCCTACTCCCACTGCAGACTGAAACAAAAGTGAGTGAAAGTCGTCACTCTGCTCAAGCAGAGAGGTCAGCAAAACATTGTGTTTTCTCTGACCTGCAGAGAGGGTGACAGTCCTCGTGGTCTATGAGGGTAAAATGCCCTTTCACTAAGGGAGGGAGGCAAAGAGCTTAAATGAAGTGGGTATTAGAGGCAGGCTGCTGGGTATCTTCTCAAGATCCTTGAGGAAGGAACTGGGTTTGTCCCAGAAAATATGTGAGCACTGCTGGGTGCTGGTGGGCTTCCTGCAAGTCCCATGCAAGCCAAAGGTTTAAGAACAGCCTGTCCTTGGGAAGGGAGAATGCTTTGCAATTGCATTTCAACCTAAACTAAAAGGTCTGCTTGTTCTGTCATCCCTCCTCAGGGCAGGGGTTGTGATTCCCCCCAGGAGCTGCTCCCAGGAGTCTGCCTGGCCGGCTGCAAAGCCAGGAGCCTGCTGAGGCCCAGCAGAAGAGCTGCCTGCAGTAAAACCATCCCTGCTGGCACCCTTTCTCTTTCCCTCTCCCTGTCCCGTTGCCTGCCTAATATCTCACTCTGCAGACTGATTTATGCCACTGGTTCCTGTAAATGAAGTTGTTGGGCTCAGACACTGTGAGATAGTGGACGCCATGTAGCTACTGCTAGGAGGGTAGGAAGCAAAGGAAATACAGGATGGATCTGCTAGGGCCAGGGTTTGTTTAAGGGTGATCTCAGACCTCCACAACACCCCTGTCCCGGCCTTGGAAAGACCAAAGGGAAGCTCCAGCTTCTAAGACAGCAGAGAGCAGCTCAGAGCCATGCCACACAGTGGGTGCAGGGGAAAGCAGAGCAGGGGAACAGGCAGGGCACTGGGAAGGTGGCACAGCCACAGCGCCTTTGGCAGACACCTGTGCTGCAGCTGGCCCTGAGCAAACCCCACTGCCAGGAGAGCAAGGTCAGCCAAGGAAACAGAGCAAGTGCTAGGGACACTTTCAGTGCCTGTACTTTCCCTGCTTGCCACTCATCTGGATTTAAACCTTCTGGATTGTCCAGCATTACTTTATCACTTGTTATCGCCTTTTCTGTGGCTTGCCTGTTCCATTTATCTTCAGTACCAACTCCTGGCACCAGGCCAGTGGACATTCCCATTCTTTTTCTCCATCTCATCCACCAGCCAGCTGCCAGTTCCTGCAGTCACAATTCAGGCTGTTTCCTTTTGCTGGAGACTGGCAGCTATCCACCATCTGAGAGGAGCCAGGAACATCATGGCTGCTGGAGCTGCTTTGCTTCCTAACAAAATGGCCTTAATGGAGTCACTATTTGATTTTGTTTGTTTTGTTTTTTCTCCAAAGGGGAACTATTACAAATCAATTAAGACATTTTAATTAAGAGACAAAAATGATTATAATAAATGCTCCCACTCCAGGGAATGCCTGGAGGTCGCTGGGATGCTGCTAGGAGTGGACTGAGGTCTGTTCCAGCAAGTAATGGAAGTACTGACATATGTGTAGGCTGCTGTCAGGCCCCATGCCTAACAGGCCTGCCAGACGAGATGAAAAAATCCTTGGAACTGAGAGCCAACTGTTTTTGGGACAAGAAAGCAGCAGAACAGACCAGGAGGAGGCAGAAGTACTATCCAGGTCCTTTCCTCTGTGCTGAGTTGTCATGAAGAGTGCTGCCTGTATGAAGATAACCTTAACCCTCACCCTCTGCTCCAGCTGAGGCTCAGCCTGAGGCAGGGCTGGGACCCAGGGAAGGCTCCCAGTGAGACAGAGCTGTTCCCTGTGCCAGCAGGGATCAGCCTTTGGGAAGCAGGGAAGCACAGAGGAGCCCCTCACTCAGCACACTGCTGTCAATGACTGGGACAGTGACCAAAGTGACAGCTCCATTCCTGCAGAGGGCCCAGACCAGGTGCCCTGGGACTCATCCACCTCTGCTTCCTGAGGCACCCCAGCTCCCTCCATGTCCCTGCTGCAGCCCCAGGCATTCAGCCAGGCTGGAAGAGGCACAGCCAGACCTGGAAGAGTCATCTGTAAAGCCTGGCAGGGTTCAGAAAGCAAGGCTGGAGGGGTGGTCAAAGGGCTGGAGAAAACAGAGCTTGTTAATTAGAATTTCTCTTTTTGTCCAAGCATTGAGACTGGAGTCCATGGCATCAAAAGGAGGGAGTGAAAGGACTTAGGCCAATCTCTGCTCTTTGGTTAATCACAAACTCTTTCTACAGCAGTGTGAGGGTTGAGGCTGATGGATACTGCCATGACTTGGCTCACTGATTTATTCCATGCTCGTCCTTCCTCCAAAGCAGCTCAACTACACCAAATCCCTTAAGCTCCAGCAGCCCAGTCAGGAGCACTGACTCATCTCATCCCCAGACCCATATCCAGACAGATGTCCATGACAGGGAGGTCTGAGACCATTCCTCATCATGAGAAGCTGGTGGTCACCCTGGGACAAGCCACCTTCTACCACCTTCATGTTCCCTTCCAGCACTCCAGAGGCAGCAGCATTCAGTGTCCCTGCACCCCACAGCACAGCACTTAAGGGAGGACAGCACAATAAATGGGGATATGGAGGTTAACCAGCCTGCCAGAGACCACACAGCACATCCATGGCAGGGCTTGGGCAGAGCCCAAGTTTTCTAACTCCAGCCTCTTGTGTTCACCACCAGAGACGACTCTGCATCTCAGAAAAACCTGAACATAGATCTCAGCAACTGCATGAAAATGCAAAATGTGACTGATGGAGGGGAACAAATTTTGTCTTCTCAGTGCAATAGGCAGGTTTCAGGACAAACAGCAGCTCTGGATGATTTCCTGAAGCCAAAGAACAGATAGAAATTATCCCAGCTCCTTCTGTCTCCAGTGAAGGGGTGATTGCCTTGCTATGATACTCCAGCAAAAGGGAAGACCCTCTAACCAGCCCACCATTTGCTGTAGCTTTTTAAGTAATCTATCTGCCACTGGTGCAGAAACCTCATAAGACACTCATTGCCACCCAGAACTGCTGCTGGGGAACCCCAGCACAGACATGACACCAGGAGACAAAGTGCAAGGATGAGGAGATACACCAGGGAGTTCTTGTGGTTCCTCACACTAAATATTTTCATGTCCCAGACTAGGCTGGAGCCACAGAGGGCTCTGAAGGGGACGAGGCAATGAGGATGCCGTAATCGCCCAGCTCAGGACAGGATGAAAAAGGAGGTGGTGAGAAGAGATCTGTTTGGCAAGGATACATACTTTGTCATGGGAATTTATCCTACAGAAAGCAGGGGGGAGCAGTGCAGGGCCCTCTGCCCTGTGGGATGTGCCATGGGAGCAGAGCAAGGTTGGCTAGGACATAGGGATCAATGGGTGACACTGCAATAGAGACACACCAGTTGCTGGGGCTGCAGAAAGGAAGAGACAGCATGGTGGATGGATCCTGGTTAACCTGGGGAATCTGTTACCTCCTGGAATGCATGGAGTCTGGGATAGGTGAGATAGTGGAACAGAGGGAAATAACAACTCACTGACAGAACAAATGGAGAAAATGCAGTATCCTGCTTTGGGACAGACCAGAAACTCTGTAGGTGAAATGCACCTGCAGCAGGTCTGTAAGAGGATTTCTCTGATCAAGGACTAACATGCAATGGGTGCTGAGAGAAAGCAAGCACTGATTTCCCTCCTGTATCCCATATCCCTCTTTGCATCTCCCTCTCTGAGGACACTGATCTCTGGCAGACAGCCGAGTGCCAGCAGCGTGTGCAGTCCCAGCACGGAGGAGCTGATGGAGGTTTGTACCAAGCCACGAGGAGGCAGACTGCAGGAGAGAACAGGATTTCTCAGTCCCTCACCTGCCCCTCTGGAGCTGGATGTGCCTGGGTTCTGCAGCACCCTGGAGCAACCTGCTCTCCTGACTGCTCTCACTCAGCATCCTGCTTCCCACACTCCCTGCTTCTGCTCAGGGACCTTCCAAAACTCTCCCGTCAGCATCTCATTTGCTTTCTCTATTCCAGCTCTCAGGGCTGCCAGTCCCCCAAATCCAGTTTCCCAAAGATGCTTGGACCTTTTTTGCCTAAACAATGTGACATGGACAAGACCTGGCCCCATCTCAGCCCTTCTGCTCAGATGAGCCCTCCCTGACCCACCTGCAAAGGTCAGAGCTTCTTCCTCCTGCAGGAGCCGAGCCGCTCACCTCCAGTCACCGTCTCATCGCTGGCCAGGACACAGCGCTTGGTCCTCTCCACTCTCTGGAAGTCAACCTGTGGCAAAGGAGTGAAAAGCACTTTTCTGCAACTGTCCTCGGAGAAGAGAGGAAGTCAGGTGAGGATCTGGGCTGCTGGAGAGTGTTTCATGGCCAGGAGTAGCTCCAGAACCCCTCCCCGAGCAGCCGGAGAGCCCCTCTGGCAGAGTGACTGACAGCCCCGTCTCACAAGCTGGATGCTGCCTTCGCTCCTGAATGAGAGAAAGGCAGAGAGCGTGTGTTTAACAAACAGCAATGGAAAGGGGGAGGGAGCCTGCTGCTGCTGTTTATACAGTGTTCAGCCACTGAGGGGCTTCTTGCATCGAGCAGAGAGAAGCTTTTCCATCACATCCAGTGAGAAGTGCTGGGAGCTGGAGCTCTGCAGGCTCCCTGTCCATACCACAGACCTGGGCATGTGTTATCTGCCCTCACTCCACAGCTGTCCCATCTCCTCAAGCTTTGACCTCATTGGGACTGGCACAGTCACGTCCAGAGCGGGATCTCCCCTGCAGCAAGAGGTCTGCAGGTCCTGCAGCTCAGCAGAGCTTTCACAGGCCTCCCTCCACCCTCCTCTGTCTCCGTGTTTGCACAGTGCTCAGAGCAATCTGCAGCTTTGGACAGGACTTCAGGGACTCCTGAGATACACACAGAAGTAATGCTGGAAAGCTTTAGCCACTTGGCAGTGCCTTGGTCTGCTCCAGAGACTTTCAATTTTAGGATACTCAGCACTGTCTACACACCTGAAGCAAGAAAGAGGGAGAGACAGAAAAGCAGCATCTTCACATCCAAATCTGCAAAATCCAAGCTTGCTGGAGCCCAGGAAATCACTCTAAAGTCTACACAGGGAAGCAGATAAGCGCAGCTAAGCCCCACCTCTTCAAAGATTTTGCCCTCAAGGAGAAGTCGTGTATTCTTAGCACAGAATTTCCAACTCAGGCAATGTGCGAATTTGCAGCTCACCTGGGCTAGGAGATGCTCCCACCGGCTGAGGGGAAGGACAGCTCTCCTTGGCTTTGAGTACCTACAGCTGGAATTTTATCAGAGAAGTCTCACTCTTTACCCCCACAGTGAACTTTGGTCTCGTTTTCTTTGTGAGAAGGGAATCAGTGAGGCTTTTCAAGCACCCCTTTGTGCCAAAAATTCACAATACACCAGGAAAAAGAAAGCACTCTAATGGCTCAGCAGAAAAATAGGAATGAGAACATTCCTGAAATCACATGGAAAGTGACACTTGAACCCAAGACTTGGACAAGAGTCCTCATAAGTCCCATCCTTCACCCTCCTCTCTCTATCTCCCCTTCAGAAAGGAAAGGACTAGGCATTAAATCCACCAGCTGTGCTAACTGGATTTTTGTGGGAGTTTCATGTCTTCTCCCCCTTCCTTTTCCCTAAGGCTGTTGATTTAGCTGCTCAGGAAAGCTGGGAGTGGAGGGAAGCAGGACAAGCCAAAACTGCTTGGGAGGAGCCATTGCTCTCTGCCACTGGTTGCAGAGAGTGGCAAAGAGCAGGAGTGGAGCTCGCTGCTCCCCCTGTTCCCAGTGGATGGATATTCCTCCTCTCCAGGCTCCTCAGCAGTGGATGGTTGATTTCAGCTCAAGATTATTTTTTTCCTCCTTTCCATTCTGTGTGAGATCTTTCTTGCTTGCTCCCCAGATTCCTTTGCTACCACTCCCCACTCTTCTCTTCCCAGGGTTGAAATAAGATGCCTGGGGAGAAGGCAGTGATTGACAGGAGAGAAATTGTGCAGCCTGAAGCTGTGAAGCTTCATCAGGACCATGGGGTGAATTCCAGTCATTTTTGGCACATGGTCTTTGCTGGATGATAGCAAATGCAAACTCTTAAATCATGGATTAGTCAGTGCAAGTCCCCAGGATGCCCTCTCCCACATCTAAGGGGTCCAGTGGAGCACCAAAAACCTGCTGTGCTCCAAAACATCACCTCGGCTCTTCAAGCAGACAGAGCAGTGCAAAAAGGTGCAGTTGAGCTCTTAGCACACCTGGACTGTCATCCCAAATGGCACCCACCAATCTGGAGTTTGGTCCCCAGTCCCTGGGTGCTCCCAGCCCAGTCCCTGGGAGTCAGGCTCTTCTCACAGTGCCACAGACATGGGCTGCCTGCCAGTCTGCCTAATCTCACCCAGCTACAACAGAATTACAGCCAGCAGTGGCTGCAGCACAGCCTTGGCTTCTCCACGGGCAAGGGACACCTGGGGGCTGCAGTGCCAGACCCCTCTCACTCCCATGGGTTCAGAGGAGCAGTCGTGGCACAAACTGCAGCAGTCTGAACACCAAGGTGCAAAACAATCTCCCCACACATCTTACAGACCCCAAAGCAGCTGAGGGTCTTCCAAGCCCCAACCAGCAACTCTCTGAAGGAGGAGGATGGGGGAATACAAAGATGGTACCTTGCATTGTCCTGGGGTGTGGAAGGCTGTGCAGCCCCAAGCAGAGGTGCCAGGACTCACTGTATGCACTGTTGTAACCTTAAGCCTGGGTATTTCCACACACAGGCTGGATACCCACAAATGCCTGCACGGGTGTCCCAGGAGCCTCATGTCCTTCCAGACATGATGGGATCGTTCAAAGGATCTTTGCAGCTCAAAAGCCTTCCCCAGTGGTTGGACTTTTATTAGGCAAAAGTGAGTCTGCTCACCCATGCTTCTGAGAAATACAACAAAGAATTTTGTACTCCAGGGAGCAAAAATGATGTCAAAAGGCTGAGAGATGGGGCAGAGAAGAGGGCTGTCTTTTGGCCTGTAATCTGCTCTGCCTCTGTGAGCAGGCAGGTTCTCAGTCTGACCACCTTGCAGCTGTAAGCCATCTGCTGTAGCTTAACTTCTGTTAGAAAAGGAAGGTGGATTATCTGTTCACTCCCTGGGTGGAATCTCTAAGAAAACTGTTACCAAGGCTTCCAGATGCTCTGGTTCATCTTGCTTCATCTGGAGCAGCAACAGTGACATACTTTAAAAAGCAGCTTTTCATTTTTTAAACATCTGTTTAATTCCACCTGCATGTAACCAAAATATTTCCACTGCTCCTTCCTGAGGTGTCATGCCTGTGTTTTCCTGAGCAGCCTCCAAAGTATCAGCAAGTTTTGGTAACACAAAAGCCCCTTTTCCATTTGAACCCCAGAGCTCACGGATGCAGTGGATTTGGGAGTCTGATGCATTTGGGAACTAAATTAGCCACAAAGAGACTCAGGGGTGGGAGGGCGGGTGGCAAGCTGTCTGTATCTTCTCTGAATTTAAAAACAGATTCTCATTTCATAACAGCTTTTTGTCCCCATGTGAATATTCCTGGAATTAGTGAAGGAGCAGAGACACCATCAGGGACAAGGTTTGGCTAAAATATCTGATAGTGAGTGCCAGTGAGAAGCACTGGAGAAGCAGGAGAGGAGATGAACCATGGGTTGGCCTGGGTCTGCCACAGCTGCACTCACCTTCAGGGCAGGCAGAAATCAGGGATGCTGAGTGTGTCTGCAGGATGAGGGTCAGTGAGTCAGGAAGGAGATGATCATATGGAAAAAGATTAACGGGATTTGTCCTGCTGAACACATCACCACACTTCGGTTCCTGCTCCACTAGGAGCAAACCCACAGGGCTCCTCTGGTTCAGACAATTAATGCCTAGGAGGGTTTACCCCTTTCATCCCCTTCCCACCCCTGGATCTCACTCTAACATGCAAAATCCCCTTGATCATCCTCACATCAGGACAGAAGGACTCCAGGCAGTTTCTTCAGGTAGACATCAGCACTGCTGAGCCCAGAACTGGCCCCTACATTTAGCTGCCATTTCTGCAAGTCACTGCACTCAAAGCTTTGTTAATTTATTAGAGGGTTGCTTGTTGTTTGTGTACTGAGCCAGGTAGAAAACAGCTTCTGCATAAGAGGATAATTGCAGCCAGATAAGCTCTTCAGAGCCGGGATTGCAAAAATACGATACGATGTAGACCAGCAGTTGTCTGGGTAAAACAGAAACATGGATGAGGTTTTGGGTTGGAACATGTTTCCCCCATTTCTCACAGACTCCCTGTCTGCCTTTGGGCAAATCATTTGATGTATCTCAGTTCTCTGTACATAGAAAAGGTTATAAAAATGCTTCACTCTGGCAAACTCACCCCTAGAGCAGAGGACCTGGTGCTTGGATGTGCAGCAGTGGCAGCTGCTTTCCCACTTTGCCCTATGGAATTTCTTTGTAAGTTGCCCATCTCATTTAGGCATGTTCTGTCATCAGGGTCCTGCTCTCCCAGGCTGGATTCTCCTGCTGCACAGTTCCACAAAGAAATTTTTGCCCAGGCTGTCACTCCTGAGATGACAAACAGCACTATAAATGCTGGATTGTGTGACGAGAACAGGCAGAGCTGGCTGGGCTGATGGCAGCCTCAGCCTAAACTCTTCCAAAGTGTCAAGACTGAAAGTGATGCAAGTGGCTGGAAAATTCAGAGCATGACTTGTGGGCTCGGTGTTGCCAAAAGGCACCAGGTATCCAGGAGCTGGGATCCAGGTCTCAGCAGCACCATAGCAGCAGCAGGATCATGTTTGCTCCTTCACTGCCTTGTCCCATCTTTTCTGGTCCTGTGGGGACCCACATCAGCTGTGGGCAGGGAGCAGGTTACCCAGTGCTGGGCTGGGCTGGCAGCAGTGTGTGAGCACAGGAGGGCCAGATCCACTCCTGATATAAACCCAGGGATTTGGCTGAAAATCCATTTGGCTCTGTGCTCCCCAGAAACATGACTCACAAGCCAGTGCCTGACACTGAGAGATAGGTATGACACTGAGTGGCCCACGGGGAAGAGCTGTGTCCCCAGGGTATGAGCAGAGCATGCACAAGCTGAGTGGAGACCGTGCTGAAAAGCACAAAGCCTTATAAAGGCAGTGCTCTGGGTTTGTCCTTCTCCCAGCTCTTCAGGCGATGAAAAGGACGACTCACAGCCCTAATTAACTGGAACATGCTAATACTACTGAGCTTCCCTGGCCAGCAAATTTGGCACAAGGCATATGGGACACTTTCCAAACAACTGCTCAGGGGAGCGCGTGCCTGCAATTTATTATTCGAGGAGCAGTTTCCTCTCTGCCTTCGCTGAAGAGCTCACACCAGACACGAGGGAGGTGAGTCTGGAGCCTGCAAATCTACTTTGAAAGCCATTTCATGCTGAAGAGAGAAGAGACTTATTTCTCCCCAGGCATTTAAGATATTTAAGGTATCAGGGGAAATATGGCTTTGCACAG